GTGACAAAAAAGTCTGACTGCATCATTTTGTTACCTTTTGCAATTCTTCGGTATAAAACCTTCCTTTCAAAATTTCGTTATTTGCGTCTTTCAATACGTAAGTCGGAGGATGCGATATAAATCGATCGTGAACAACAAATATTTCCTTCGTCCACCCCGGCAGATATCCACGACTAAATGTTTTACGTATTTTCGAAATTCGAACTAAATCACCAATATTAAATTTAAATTTATCTTTTCTTTTTATACCATACAGCCTATCAAAAATTGTACCGTAATGCAAAAGATTAACTTCAGATGGAGCCATACCGATACTTCTGTGAAAACTATTATTATATCCTTTTACGATATCGTTTAATTTATCGATATATTGATAAGAATTACGGTAAGTAAATAACCTATATATTTTATTTCGTAAAGTTTTATTTAATCTCTCGACCACGGAAGCTTTAGTATCCGAATGAGTCGAATAATGATTAATTTTATATTTTTTAAACAAACTTTTTACTAACCTATTATAAAATTCGGTCCCCCTATCGGTTTGCAAATTTTTTGGAATATTTCGTTTAAAAATAACTTGAAAAGCTTCCAAAATAGACTTAGGTTTTTTATCCTTTATTGGCACAACGTAACAATATTTACTAAATACATCAATTACGGTTAATAAATATTTTATTCCATTATTATATCTAGAAAATTGCTTTAACACGATTAAATCGGCCTGCCATAGGTCGTTAGGATAAAAAGCTTTAGTTTTTCTTCGCGAGTACTTAACTCTTACAGGTTTATGAAGCGAATAAACTGGTTGCGAAGACAGCCATTTTTCGACCACAGATTTCGGTAAATTAGAAGCTTTAGCTAGTTTACTCACTCCTCCAAACGATGCCGAAGATTTAGGATTATAATATATCGATTTTAAAAGTTTCTCCATTCAGGACTCTTTTTCCTCTTTCTCGTAGATGATTTTTTCCACTGGTAAAATATTCTCGGAGAAATTGAAGAAAAAATTTCTTCGGGACTTTCAACAGGTGTCGGTTGATATCTTAGTTGCTCGCCGATTTCGGGTAGAGTCGCCAAACTTTTGTTTCCAATCCACTCTTTAGGAATATTTATTTCTCGTAAGGCTTGCCAAAATTCGTTAAAACCGGAAGGAGCTAATGGAGTTTTTCTATTTCTCATTAAATGAGATATTAAATCCACCATGTGACTTCCAGCAACTGGCTTACCGCCGATTGTCAATTCCCCTTTTTCATTCCATCCGTAATGATTTTGTCTCAGTCTGTCGATTAAATGCGGTACATATTTTCGATATAACTGAGGGACAGATATAGTAATTTGTTTAACAATTACATCCTCCCCATTATCATCGGGTTTTTCTTCGGGTGGAGAAGACACTTCTTGATTTTCGTCCGGTACGACGGATACTCTAACTGGTTCTTTTGGTGCATGAATCGTTCTCTGATATCTCGAAATCAGTTGACTTAATAATTTAACTTTACTATCGTCGGATAAATCGGTGCTCTCGAGTAATTCTTCAATATTATTACCAATTCTTATTTCAGGTTTCCGATATGCTGCTAACAGTTCGGGAGGGACTAAAGCCATTTGCTTTGCCATTAGATTCTTTTTCCTATTACTTTACCAATTAATCCTCCTGCCATAGACAATAATGGCGCCAGTAGAAGAGGAAGGAATCCACCAGATTGATTAACTAAAATTCTTTTCTTGGTATTTAAAGGAACGTGCTTTTCACTTAATTTCCGGATTATTTTTTTATATTTTCGTAATTTATGAACGTTGACAGGTATATTTCCTCTCCGCAAATTATCGCATATTTCGCACAAAACTTTAACTTGATCGGGAGTAGCCTCTTTCAATATTGCTCTTCGCTGAGACGGAGTAGTTTTAGCTAAAAGCGCCAGCATATGGTAATTTTTCTTTACGTTCTTCATTTTATCGGTAAGTATAGCCAAAAAATACCTTGTTCATCCGGAAAACACGAATCTCGCACCGAAAGTTTCTTGTCTGTTTTTGGGTGAAAATCCAATAACAAATAACCAAAATCCTTTTCCGTTGCTTTTTTATACGCATCCATAAAAAAATTACGTTTTCCTGCAAAAGCTTGCCGTCCCAAGCAACTTACTTGACTTTCATCACGATTATTTTTAAATAAAATCAAATAATGAGTATTTAAAGTTATATCTCTCATAATTTTATTTTTTGGAAACAAATTTTGCATTATCAGGATCACACTTACATTATAATGGTGAGACACTGTGGTAAAAAAGAATCCAGTTTTTGAGCTGAGTTTGTGCATCAAATCATCAATTATTACTAAATCCCATCCTTGCACAGATTCAGGTAAACCATACATAAATGTAATATCTTTTTTGTCACGAAAAAACAGCAAATATACAGAATAACACCATAAAATTTTTTTTAATGATTTTTCATAAATTTTACAGCGAATAATTTTTCTTACCAGCATTGTCTTTCCACATTGTGACGGCCCAGCAATTATACAGTTACTCGGATGCTTGAAATACGTATCAGTCAATTTTATGAACTTTAGTAAATTTATAATGCTTTGATCCACAATTTATCTCTCTAAATATTAATATATTCTTCTTGTTCTTTTCTACATAAACTTCGTTCATAACATCACAACATTCCTCGAACGAATAATATACGTTATTACTTACTTTGCTAATTCTTCTGTCCTCGTCAACAATTACAAATCCAAACTTTCCCTTTCCTTTCCATATTTCTCAGTTAACTTTAAAATAATGCAAAACAATTGGAAAATTATCGGGAATATCAAAAGAAAACTTATTTACCGCAGCAATACAGGTATCCAAAGACTTGTACAGGCGAGGAGAAACAATAATTTTTGTCTCCGTCGTAGGTAATAATAAAACCGTATGCTTCCATAACTGATTCAATCTTTAAAATAAATTCTAACATATATTAAAATTGAATTTATATGAAACAACCGTCCAATCACATTTCTTATATATTTAATTGTGAAATATAAGTAATTGTAAAATTATGTATATAAATTAATTTTGTGATTAGTACATGTCATACGTATACTACTCCTAGGACATGGGAACGTCTTCTAACTAGGACGCACCTGTTTTCGCGTGAGAGTCATCGACCTTGGAGAGCTGATTCATTTTTTACTAATATGTAAAGATTATTTTTTGTTAAATCTATAAGAACTAATACAAAACCCTCTAAGGAGTGAGAGGATAATATAATATTTTTTCTTGAATATAGCATGGAAAATATTGTGGTGGCTGACGAGAGAAGTGCGATTGCTGGATATAGAGCTATGATTAGAGGGGTGAGGAATTATGATAAAAATAAAGGAACCCCCTAGTCATGGCTGTTGTCCCTGAGACGGTCTATATCCCATACAGGGTTAGACACCGTTTTCTCAGCCAGCAGAGGTGGGTGATGATGACATCCACAGATCAGAGTCCTGCCGCTGCTGGAGCAATCGCACCCCGAGAGGAGGAAGTAGACTCTACCTGCTATTACAATCTAGCGGAAGGGCCTAGCTCTCCGCTAGAACCTAGTGATAGCAGTGATGAGTCATCATCCGAAGATGAGGAGGAGGATTCTACCTCATCTGAGTCCTCATCCTCGGATGATAATTCTTCTTCCTCAGAAGAAGAAGAAGAAGAGCCACCACAAAAAAGACGGAGATGGAGGCCTTAAAACAGGTGTGTATTAAATAAAACTTCTTTATATTTTTTGAGTATTGAAAACATTTTTTAACAAAACTAAAAAGTACACAATTCTGTTGGATATAATCGGTATTATATCTAAGCCTAACTCATATATAAAACCAGCTCGATATTCACAGCGAATCAGATGATTATGGTTGTACAAAATTGGTTATATTTTCAAATTTGCGAATAAATAGTGCTAACTCGTGATTTTTTAAAAAAATATATTAAAAACATGATAGATTAACCTAATCCGCACCCCGTACATGTCCTATCAAGTCGAATGAGGAAAATCCGGTTACCTATTTTTGTGGGTCAAGCTGAATTCGCAAGTTTTTTATTAAGGAAAATCGTGTAGCAGTATTTTCCTCCTAGTTTAGTATAAATAATGTCCGAGTTTTAAGGATATAGTTTCGAATAGCAGCTTCTAATAGAAGAAAATGACAACAGTTGATTGCTGGAAATTGATGAAAATGAATAGCAAGTTTTTTTTTATATGTGTTTGGTATTATGATAGTATTTTATATATGAGGACTGTTCAAAAAGTATCAGACCTTTGGTCGGCAAAAATACATTTATTGATTTTGAGGTACAAAACCCTAATCCCCTTCAAAGTAGTCTCCTTGGAAGTGTATACACTTCTCCCAGCGTTCCTGCTATTGCAGGAAACACTGCTGGAATGCATATTTTGAAATGGCCATCAGCCGGTCCATCGCATTCCGCACGATGTCTTCTCTCGACTAAAATCGGGTTCCTTTTAGCAGAATTTTCAGCTTGGGAAATAGCCAAAAGTCACGCGGAGCCATGTGGGGAGAGTGTGGAGCATGACGAACCACAGGAGTGTTGTGTTTGGCGACAAAAGCCTGAATCAGATGCGCAGAATGGGCGGATGCGTTATCACAATGGAGCTGGCAAGTTTTGATTGACCACAGATCCGGTTGTTTGCGTCGCACAGCATCGGAAAGACGACGAAGGACCTCCTGGTAGTATTCCTTTGCGATGGTTTGGCCTTGTGGTGCATACTCACAATACACCACCCCACGAGAGTCGGAAAAACTGTCAGCATGACTTTGATATTGCTGTGGACCTGCCGCGCTTTTTTTGGCCTCGAGGATCGTCCCTGAAAGTCTGTTAAATCTTGCAAATCGTTTACGCTTGGGTATCGCCAAGGTTTTTGGCAAAATTTGATGTAATATCGCTGCTCACGTTGTTCAGTCATTTTTCAACTTAGTGGAATCCGACGAGAGCTCACTACACGTTCTCACTCATAGGCTGACTGCCAGTGACTGAAGCTTCCTGCAGGCAGGAAGAAATTTAGGGCTCTGCACGACTGTCCCCTCCACAACTCCACTGAAAGAGGTCTCCCATGCATCATTGGTTTACGTGGAAAAAATAAAAGTCCGATACTTTTTGAACAGTATATATATATATAAATTAAGTTTTATTATTTAGATAATCCAGGAGTTTAGATTTCAAAATGATTCCCTCTTACAACTCTACAACGGGTTCTTCACAAGGCAGATTGAATATGTGGGGTTTAATTCAGAGGATTTTATGATTGTTAATTTCTTCCATCCTGAAATACGATGGAGGAAATTAACCCCCAGTGATAAAAAAAAAACTGTTAGATTTTGTAACAGTTTGCATAAGCTGTATTTATCATATCACGGTAAAAATGATGTTGATCAGTGGATGCATCACGAAAATATCGTATTCGCTATCAAAAATTTTTTTGAAAAATAGTTTTATTTTTTTTTTACAGGTGGGATAATCGAAAAATGTTTAATTAGGAGGCGGAACGACCGCATTCGTAAAATTGACTCGTTAGATGTTGAGAAATTTGGGGTACCAAAATCCTCGAAAATTAAAATACCATGTCCTCGTCATCATAACTTCATCGAGCACTGTGCATTATGTGATGTCTTTTCATACAAATATTATATGAAAACAGGTAAAAATATATTATTTTGTTTTTTAAATATTATCGCATTTCAGAAATATTGAATATATATTTTTTATTATATAGAATTATTGGACATATTTTGACAATCATCGAGGAAAAAAATTAGATTAAATTTTTGTAAATAAAAACACAATTTTTATATTTTAAATAGATTTTTTTATTGAATTACAACACTGGTTATTGGTTATTACAATCGGTTTTGATAAATGAAAATTATTTTTAACAAATTCGTTGTTATAAAATTTATCCGTTACATGTAGTTCTGATAAACATAGATTTTTTATTAATTTTATATAAAAAATATAAGCAGAAATAACCACAGTTTAAGGAAAACAAACTTTGATGAATAATAATATTCCAACAAGATTTTTTGAATTTCATTTTATAAATTTGATGATACTCGCTTTCCTCGGTTTTAATTTGTGAGCCGCCGGGGATGTTGGAAAAGCCTCTCCTATATGGCCACAGGTCGGTGACCTACTTTCCTGTCAAGGATGGCGTTACGTTCAGTTACGCGTTACGCGAGTGGTGAAGTGCGTTAGAGGGGTTGACGATAAGACGATGGTACAGTTGAGTAAAAACACCATTTTAAACAAAAGAAGAGTTTATTAAACTAACTAACTAAAGAAAATTTACACAAAAATCCTTCAACTTCACGGATGAGAGAGAGAGTTCACAATAATATTTCATACCTCTGAGATAATGTCGGACGGATACTTCTGACTTAAATTTCTGAAAGGCGGTGCGAGGTGTGGCACAAGGTGGAGGAGGTCGGCGATGGGGAAGACTTCGATATCCGACTTTGTCGTTGTTCGTTCGATTGGCGACTCCCCCAATTGAAGAAGGAGGAGGGCTTTTATACGTTTTGTGGTGGGAAAAATTCGTCATGTGACCATTTGTTTTAACAGGTGCGGGGTTAAAGGTGGTCCCGGGCGGCAATAAATCGTTGAAGTTAGACTTCAATTGCAAACATTAAGTCTTGCTATTGTCGAATGTTTACGTTAAATTTAGGAGAGAATTGTAACTTGATACTTAATATGTTTATATAAGTGAGATAGTTGATTTCGTTTTTTTTTCTGACGAGGGATTTCTCCCCCCCCAGTAAGGTAATAAATTTATTCAAAATATGTTACAGCTGTTAACATTTAGAAGGAAGAAAAACAAATTGGTTTATCCATTGGTCGGATCTCACAAATTCATAACTATCGTAATAAATGCAAGAATTTTTATTTTTCGTAAAAAAATACTGATACCCAATGACTTCCCTGCTTATTTTTTTCATCTAAATTAATTATAAAAGATTGTTTATTACCAACTTGAAACGGTAGATTGTTCGATGCAAACACTCTTCCAAAATTTTTTATTTTCGGATCGCTCGCTGCTAATCTCCACAACGTGGTGGTATTCATTACTATTCGATGAATACGGTTCGTGAATGATCGATTTCTAAGGTATTATTATATTCTAGCAAACAAATAACGTTTACGGTTTCTGGTATCGCCTTAGAACTTTAATTTGTTAGCAAAATTTTCTTGATTGGTTTATACTAATATTACACTCGGATCCTGATTTATACGGTGTAAGATCAAAACAATATAATGTATAACCATCTTTGTACTTGTTGTACAATATATTTGTAGATTTGTGATGATGAATACATCGGTATCTGCAAATAACGAGATAAAATTTCTTGCATAAATTTTATTGCTATAATCCGGAGTATAAGGTTTAGAAAGAATCATTTGATTGTCCTTTTACAAACATATATAATTTAAATTATAATTTTTAAGATTAAAAGGATTATGCTTCACATTTCCATTAATTAAGAATATTGTAAATAGAAAAAAAAATGCGTTTATTTAAAATTGAAATTCTATTCTTTTAGATATGGTACTATAACCTAAGGAACCATCTAAAAAAGTTTGATTCTTTGGATGCCAAAGGTTTTATCCCCCTATGAAATGCTGCAGATATCAACAGTTGTGCACTTCTCAAAAAGTTGTATGTTAAATTCTGTTGAGTGCTGACTGCCTTAAGATTGTTTGGCCTAGCATGTCCTCTTGGTTATCTGTGTACCATGTTTGTTAGAATCATCAAAATGATAAGCTTACACTGACTATTGCTTTGACTGGTGGTGCCCAAACGTTTTGATAGGTGGAAAAACTGCATATAAATCATAGATGGGTTAGGCTCATATTTTGTATATTACATATGTAGAAAAAGTAAGTCTGTCTCTATCAATCATAAGAGATGTTTCAAGTAACTGCACACCATGTTGACGTGTGCTGAGCCCAATTGGTTCACAACTTACAGTTCGGGCACCACTGGTTTTGACTGTTTTGGTGATGATTATTTTTAATTTCACCATCTTTCGACTGATTATTATTAGATGATAAAGTATTTCTGATTTTTATTGATGATTATGCACAGCTTCTTACATAAATAAGTTTTTTATAGAAATTTTTCATTTTCAGGAAATTTTTTAAGAAGAAACAGAATCAAATAGGAGTGTCGAAATTCCCCAATTTGGATTATGGTAAGAAAATTCAATATGCTATTTAATTAACTTCAAATATTTATATATCTAATTATCTAAAATGAGAGAGACTGATATATGAATAAGTGACTGATATTTGATAGAGAGACTGATTTGTATGAATAAGTCAAATAGTGCACTGAAATAGCTTATTAGTATATGAATTTCAAGAGTATTAGAGATGGCATAATCAGTGTTGAGTCCTGCAAATATGACTTTATCTATCTGTACCAATTAGATGAATTATTGAAAATAAGAAGTGTTATGGGATTGTGATAATGTTAGTCTAAATAGCAGAATTTTTGTCAAGATTCATGCAAATTTATNATTCAAAAAGGTTGAAAAACACTGAGATAGAGTATAGAGTCGAGTCGTCGATGGTGCCATCTATCGAGATAAACAAGAGTAAAATAATTAACGTCGTTTTGCTGTGGAACCTTGGAAAAGGGGTTATATTCTTTGCTGATAAAATCATCAATTCCATTTGTTAAATGTTGCCAGTAAATAACAATGACTTCTTTGTTTGATCCTTGAATTAAGTTACAGTAGTAAAAATTAGATTACATGCATTAGTAGTATAGAACCAATACACTGGGGTATAAAATTAATTTGTATAGGAATTTAATATAAAGTTTAATGATTCAAACTGGACTATAAAGACCGACGCAATATAGGAATTACAAAACATTTTTTCTCTACTACACCTGAAGTGGACCCCTCTGAAGTAAGCTGTGTGGACCACATTCTTTCATCTATCTGGTAAATTTTTGTTCATAGACTTCTTTTTTTACCGACACTTTGATCAGATACGGACCTTTTTTTAAAACAGAACGTAAGTTTTTTTTCCTTTATCAGCGATGTTAGAAATATCGCGATATATTTCTGATTTGTAGATAATACAATTAACTACTAGATTTAAAAACAATCGACTCTTTTAATTATTTTTTATTTCTTTAAAATCGATATGTTACAGATTTTAATTCTCTTCTTCCTCTTCTTCATCGAATTTATTTAATTTTTCCATTATATCATCAACGATGTTACTAATATCCTGAAGACTAGCAAATTGTGAGAATTTTCAGCGATATATTTATGGTCTAGTTTTTGATATTTAATAATATAACACCAGAAAAAATGGTATTTGAAATCGTGAATAAAATCTTCGTTCAGTATTTGATAACGAGAAACTAAATCTCAGTGGAGANGTTGCCAGTAAATAACAATGAGTTGTTTGTGATTACATGTATTTTTTGTCTTTTTGAACAACATGAGTTTTACAGAATGTCTAGTTCCAAATTTCTGGAATTCTGTTGTGTTTCCGACACTTCGTGTCTGGCTGATATTGTAATCTAAAGATGAACTGTAGTCAATGTGTATATTGCATTGAATAATTTCTTCAAATGTTCATTAAGATGTGATGATTTATTTGTCCTGGACAAGGTTTTTACTTTTGTGGCAGGAAATGTCATAGTTACACTTTCTCATATTTAATTTATCAATATATTTCTTAATAAAATTATCGGAGAGAAGTTGAGATTTTGCTATTTTATCCAAATTAATGGCTTTTACCTTCAAAGACTTTTCCTCATGACCTAGTTAATAACTCTTACCTTCGAAGACAGGACAAAGAAAAGACTTTTCCTTATGACCTAACCTAGTTAATATTCATTATCTAATCTATCAATAAGCGTTACTTTGAAGATGGACGTGCTCTAATTTTAGTTTCAACCATCATGTCTAACAAGTTTTGTAGGTCCAGTAGCTGAGGATAAAAGGCGGACGATCTTTCCTAAGAGTATAAGGTTTAGAAAGAATCATTTGATTGTCCTTTTACAAACATATATAATTTAAATTATAATTTTTAAAATTAAAAGGATTATGCTTCACATTTCCATTAATTAAGAATATTGTAAATAGAAAAAAAAATGCGTTTATTTAAAATTGAAATTCTATTCTTTTAGATATGGTACTATAACCTAAGGAACCATCTAAAAAAGTTTGATTCTTTGGATGCCAAAGGTTTTATCCCCCTATGAAATGCTGCAGATATCAACAGTTGTGCACTTCTCAAAAAGTTGTATGTTAAATTCTGTTGAGTGCTGACTGCCTTAAGATTGTTTGGCCTAGCATGTCCTCTTGGTTATCTGTGTACCATGTTTGTTAGAATCATCAAAATGATAAGCTTACACTGACTATTGCTTTGACTGGTGGTGCCCAAACGTTTTGATAGGTGGAAAAACTGCATATAAATCATAGATGGGTTAGGCTCATATTTTGTATATTACATATGTAGAAAAAGTAAGTCTGTCTCTATCAATCATAAGAGATGTTTCAAGTAACTGCACACCATGTTGACGTGTGCTGAGCCCAATTGGTTCACAATTTACGGTTTGGGCACCACTGGTTTTGACTGTTTTGGTGATGATTATTTTTAATTTCACCATCTTTCGACTGATTATTATTAGATGATAAAGTATTTCTGATTTTTATTGATGATTATGCACAGCTTCTTACATAAATAAGTTTTTTATAGAAATTTTTCATTTTCAGGAAATTTTTTAAGAAGAAACAGAATCAAATAGGAGTGTCGAAATTCCCCAATTTGGATTATGGTAAGAAAATTCAATATGCTATTTAACTTCAAATATCTATATATCTATTATCTAAAATGAGTGTTGTACAAATTGCTGTATAACAATTTATGTAATTTTGCTTAGTTCTGGTTGATACAATACGTAAAAGCTTAGAATATGAAATAGTGAGAATAAACTTTGTGCCTTAAAATTTGCTTAAATATCTTCTGTAAAGTAGCACTATTACTTCAATGTTAGTTGTGATTGAAATTGTCATGTATCTGGATGTGTATGGTGTTTATGAAGTATTGATACATTTTGGTGAAAAATTTGGCTGATAATTTGATAAAACATATATGCAAACAGAATATATTTGCATATATGTTTCATTAATGTTTTATTTCTTAGAGTTACTTACTTGGAGTGCTGCATCTTGGGTGTTATGTGTATGAAGCTCATTTTTTAATGTAAACACACAATTTTCCATGGTTGTTTGCAGCATACCAAGCTTTGTACAGAGATGTTGAGGTGTGAGAGCTTTATTTAATCACTTTTTGAACATATTCTTTGGTGTATGGAAGGTTGCCTGAATATTCATCATTTAATTTTTCTATTTCTTGAATATTTGCCCGTGTTGGACCAAGTTTCTGATATTGCATATAGGCTATTCAAACATGAATTTACAGGTATTCTCTATTTTAAAGTTAACATTTCTCACTACTTTCCAACAACTGTAAGAAAAATGAAATTATTAATGCATTCACAAAAATGGATTGAGACTTTATAAACATTTTGCATTTACATATTTAAGATAGACTGTGGGAAAATAGGTTGGAATTGTAAGGATATATAATTCAACATATTTGAGAGAGAGACTGATTTGTATGAATAAGTCAAATAGTGCACTGAAATAGCTTATTAGTATATGAATTTCAAAAGTATTAGAGATGGCATAATCAGTATTGAGTTCTGCAAATATCACTTTATCTGTACTGAGGAGATGAATTATTGAAAATAACAAGTGTTATGGGATAGTGATAATGTTAGTCTAAATAGCAGAATTTTTGTCAAGATGCATTCAGATTCATATATATGTGTAATATGTTCCCATAACAATAGTGAGTATTTCTACTTATAGTTAAATTTAAATTTAAAAAAATTGTGTCATTGTGTTTTGCTGTGAAACCTTGGAAAAGGGGTTATATTCTTTGCTGATAAAATTGTTAGTTTCATTTGTTAAGTGTTGCCAGTAAATAACAATGAGTTGTTTGTGATTACATGTATTTTTTGTCTTTTTGAACAACATGAGTTTTACAGAATGTCTAGTTCCAAATTTCTGGAATTCTGTTGTGTTTCCGACACTTCGTGTCTGGCTGATATTGTAATCTAAAGATGAACTGTAGTCAATGTGTATATTGCATTGAATAATTTCTTTAAATGTTTATTAAGATGTGATGATTTATTTGTCCTGGACAAGGTTTTTACTTTTGTGGCAGGAAATGTCATAGTTACACTGATTGCTTTCACAAAAATTATATTATGTATTTATGAAAAATTCAAAAGTACTGATATTTTTTCTTTTGCTTTTCAGTTTGAGTCTGTCTCTGAGAATAGAAAAAAACAAAGACCAGGACAATATATTTAGTGTTATGCTTCAGTCATCCAGTCTCTGGAGATTATGATTCTAGAAAAATTGACTCTCGTATCCTATATTACTAAGGATAACAAAATATGCTTCTCATCTGTATTGCAGTTTCACCATGAAGAAGATATGGGTTATTTACCAAAAATCAAAATTATTACATTTTATAATTTAACGAAAGGTGATGAAGGCTATTCAATTCTGTTCAATGCAGAAAGAAATTCATCTAACGACAAATATTAAAATGTAAAATTAAGCATCATGTAGTACTTATGTACATTTTCATTTTGTCATTTAAATTAAATCCTGTGTTTTGCTTTTTTATTGTGGGTATTTTATTTTATTTTTTTACGAATTTAGCACTAATGTATTTACTTAAGCCAGCAGTTTTCAACCTGTGGTCGGGGATGGTGGGGCAAAGCTTTCATCTGATTTTGCACTATTTGCCACTACCTATCAAAAATTTGACTAATGACTACGATTCTAAATTTACACTTTAATTAAATTTTACTAACAAGTGAAGGGAAATTGATAAGATTGTTTTACTTATTTTCTTTAAAATGTTCTCATATGATGCAGTATGTTTCGACTAAGGATGGTGGAATCTGAATTGGCTTACAAATTCTTGGAAGCTTTGAGAAATCACTGATCTAGAACCAGTGTTCTATCTCACCATTTTGTAAATTTTGTGGTAAAAATACGCTATACCATGATCACAATGTAGTATCGTGGTAAAGAGAAAAAAATCCAGCAACGAGTTGCGTAACTTTCTCCACTGTTTGATTTTATTTAAAAAATTTTATTTATTACAGCGAGACCTGGGCCATATTCTGGTCACCGTCTCTCGTCTCTCAAGCCGGTCGCTGATTGGCCGGTCGCTGATCCAAATGATTAGCCAATCAGCGACCGGCTTGTGAGAGACAAGAGACCAGAATACGTCCCCAGAAATCGGGTGCGACTGTTTGTACATGGATAGTATATCTTAATAAGGTTAATTATTTTAAATTAAAAACCGATTTGAACATTTATTAAGGCGTGTAGTATTCGGGAGATTCATCAAAAATGTCAAACCCAGAAGTGACAATTCCAGTTGCCGCGATTGGCGCTGTTTGCCGCAGCGGCATAATTTAGAACTAAGATTTACCTTGGCTCTAGACACTTGTGTCTGGGTGTTAATCTGTGTCTCAACTCTGATACATTGATCTCAGCAGACTGGCTGAAAATCTCTATTGTGCTCAAAGCAAAACTGCTTGCAGATTTTTCAGATCTTTGAAAGATGCATGCCGTATTATGTGCCTCGGGTTATTAATAGGCTTCCAAATTTTCAAACCATTAATGTTAGCAACACAAGGATTTTCTATCTGTTGTTAGTTAGAGTAGTATTATTCTATACGACATTTTGTTCGTAAAACAAAAACAGTTCTTTTTATTTTAACAATGAATGTTGTCATTGGTCAGCTGAGTGACGTCAACCCACCGAAGTATAGATTATACTGTATTTTGTGGTCGTCAGAACGAATCATGACGAAATAGATTATTTTTTTTTAGTTGTTGTAATATGGAATGAGTATAATGTGAAAATACAGCTGATTATTTATTTTTTTGAACATTTAACTTCATACTTGATCTTTATTAACCTCTGAACCAAATCATACACAATAGATCATTTTAATAGCGCGATTATTGTTTTAAATTTACGTGCACAGATAATAAATAACAGAAAATTTATACTTTGTTACATATATTATTCATAAAAAGTTCTAGAAAGGATGAAATTTATAATTAAGATAAGTCAGAATATTCTTTGAATTTGTCATATGCATTTAATTAATATAGTTAGTACAAACAATAAAATTAACTAAGCTTTGTATACCTCTGAAAGAGTAATTTTCACAAACCTTGCTTAACAAATTATAAAATTTAAATGTAAAAGTTGTTGAACAATTTTGAATAAAGAATATTCTCCATCGATTACTCTCATCAGAATTTTTTAATGTTTTAGTTAGAATTGACAGTTCTCTCTGTCAATAGACATTTTGTGCTTTTGAATGTTAGTTCAAAATCTGTTTTTTAAGAAACAATACTTCTCAAATTTACAGAAATTTCATATATCCAGTTTCATTATGGATATATCTGTAAATTTTTATGACCATTTTTCAAATTAAAAGTATAGAACTTTTGTATAAATTATTTAACAATCAATAATACTATAAGTATTTAAATTCCTTTAAATATAATAGTTATATATGTTTTAAATAAGAATTTCCATACAAATACAAGAAAATAAGAATTTTCCATTTCATCGTGGAAATTGTTTATCAATATGTGTGAGAAAAAAGTAATGTTACATTTGTACTGTAATGTTTTCATAGTAAACTATTTTTTTAATCCTTTTTATTTTTTGTTAAAATAATATTACCATACTAATGAATAACTATTTCTAGATGCCTTGTATGTGCAGTATACCTGGTTGCATAGAAAAATATATATCCAGTGTCTATATTTAAGTTTCCACAGGATTTGATTTGAAAAGCAAACCAATGGATTAGAGAATTTGTAGAAAAAATAACTTATTATTTAAAATGTTTTAACAATTATGCATTAAAAAGTATGAATTATGTTTAGGTGAAAATATATATTAAATTGTTAACTAGTCTGCATTTTTACTTAGCATATTCTGTTGTAATATATATATAAAACATTAAATACAAGTTTCTGTAAGGTTAAAAATACTGTATTGTCTAATAAAGAATGTTAAAAAAAACTTAATTTGCAATTTACATTTGTTGTTTTTGATTATTTTATTATTATAGTAAATGTACAAAAAAGCTTACAAAAATATAAAACGGATAAAAGTTACTTCTTGATGTTTAAAAATGTCTCGGCATTAAAACCTTTGATATCACGTAATTTAACGTTAAAATTATTGCAAAATTTTCAATTTATGTTAATACATACAAGAGCTAGTGAAATTATAAATAAGTGCCTTTTATCAAGTTTTAGATGAAACGTCTATAACTACAAGTCGATCCCCCTATAACTGTTGATAATTCCGTTTTATATGAATTCCATGTTGTACGAGTCACTTAGATTTTACAAATACGCGAGCCGTTCACAGCCCGGCACACGTATTTGTAAAATCTAAGTGGTACAACATGGAATTCATATAAAACGGAATTATCAACAGTGTTATAGGGGGGTCGACTGTATTATATAATGTCTGCCCGCTCTCACAACTACAACACGAAGTTTAGGCTAATCGATCAACGTTACCATTTTAGTAGGTTGACGTCATTCAGCTGACCAATCAGCGCGTATCGCCATCTGGATATTTAGTCGCACGTGTTATACCTTGGTTCAGATAGAGCAGTGTTTTTCAACCTGTGGGTCGCGACCCCCAGGGGGGTCGCGGGTAAAAGAGAGAAGTGTTTGTAGGTCCTACACTTCATTAAAGGAAGTTTCATACTTTGTGTGTTAAGTTATTGTCGATTCTTCCGAAATTTTCAGTTTAATCAACAATAATTTGTCTCAACAGAAAGAAAATTAAATACATAGTTTTTAAAATCACTGATATAGTCTTAATATGGCCCTATGAGGGTCGCCAGAATTTTTTAATTCGTAAAGGGGTCGCTTATTCAAAAAGGTTGAAAAACACTGAGATAGAGTATAGAGTCGAGTCGTCGATGGTGCCATCTATCGAGATAAACAAGAGTAAAATAATTAACGTCTGAGTAAAATAAAAAGTACGAAAATAGAAAAAAAAATTTTAAATAAAAATGCAGAACTAGGTCCAACCGTATTGGACAGATGCCCACACGGAACTACTCTCAGATTAATCCTCACTACTCAACGACACGGAGGCTTTTGCCTCATGTAAGTTAAATCCGAAGACAGTTCTTTTCCTGTCTGTTTTTTAAATATTCGTCTTTCATGGTGGCCCCGGATGTTCGTTTCGACCACCGTAACAGCGTCGTTCCTCGTGCGGACATCCAGTCATCGTAGTACATCGCGAAAGCTATTTCCTATCCTCAAGTTGTCCTCTAGTTCTGGCTTCCCAGAAGCTGGATTACAGGAACGCGCCACCGCTCCCAGCCGACAGAACTGTCTTCGGAATCGTTATTTATGACTACGATTGACAGTTTTTCTTGGTTTCTTTTGTTTTCCTCTGGGAATAGAAACTATTTAATCTGTCTCGGACGGGGTCATCGACGGCGCTACGAAAATCACATTATAGTTTATTCTATCTCGAACTTAAAGCAAAACTATTTCACTAGCGCTGGTACACGACAACGTTAAAACCACGTCGTTTGCTTAGAAAATAGCAGGTTGCAGTCACGTGACAAAAATACAATGATATAAACACTTAGACACTTCTGTCATCAGAATGCAACTTTATTACTGATATACAGTTCGGTCCAAAAGATCCTCATCAGCCATACATAAATATATAGCCACGGGATAGATCTATAACAAAACGCAATGCACATTAAGTAAGAATTTATTATAAAATTGGACAATTATTCCAATACTTCGTAGTAAATTATCTCAAGGCAGTTGAGGTAATTTACTACGAAATATCGTAAGAAACTGACGTTGCCGGGGGGAATTGTTTTAACTTCTTTTGGTAATGCAGACGTTTCGGAATCCAACGGCAAAAGAAAACTTACACGACACAATTTGTTTGTCATTCCTCACATAATGGCGTAAAAGACAAACGTCTAATGTGCTTACGTGTTTGTTGTTCATTTCGATAGTGAAAAATCAACTTAATTTAAGTGGTGAGAAGCTACCATCCGTGGGATTATGACTGAACGCCTCTAACAAGTACAGGAGTTAAGTACAAAAAGTACAGGAGTTATTAAGCTTGAAAGACAGTGAACAATATCATGACACACAAACATCCATACATACAGAACCCCCAAATTTCTTTTTATTTTTCCATGTTTCAAAATCCACAGAGTTCAAAAATGTAAAAATCT